GCATCTTTGTAATTAAAAACATTTATAATTTCATATTCCAGCTATTCCTCAAAAAACATGTTTTGGATATCATGCCATTCAAAATTTTAATTTACATTTTAAGAAATTGTAGTTTTTGTGGGTCAAAAATGACTCGCATGCTGTTTCTATGGAATCCTATGGGAAAACATTTTTTTTCTAAATGTAAAAAAAATGTCTAAAATGATAAATAGTGAAAAATTAAATATAAAATATTTCTATTGTGAACCAAAATATAATACTAAATATTATACAAGTGATTTTTCTTAACCAAAATGACAAAAATGGCATAAAAACACATATTATTCTAATACGGGTCCTTTTTGACCCACTTATGGAAGAGTGTAGGGTTCAGTCACTCGTGCATCTAAGGGTTAACATATGCCGTTATCTTTTTCATTTTGTAAATGTCCATTGTATCTGGAATTAACCGTCTTCAACACTTTTCAATAATAGAGAATACATCTGCTGTCACTTCTGATTCTCTCTGTGAACACGTATTTTAGTTTGTTGGAACAGAATACTATAATAGAGGTGCTGTTTTGACACATATATAGCTTCATATCCTTTTAATGAGTTTGTTACTGTTGAATTTGTAGGAGGGGTAACCATCATGATAGTAACAGCTACTGAGAACCAGAATAAACAAACGTCTTTGTGTAACAGGAGTGGGATGATTGCATGACTATAAAGATAATTACTTACGGTCTTAAAATGCTGCATGGTTACATTTTTGTTTTATTGCATTCCTCATCATGTTTTCATATCCAACGAGCATATTATTCATTTCATATTTAATGAGGAGGCTAAATAGATGTTTTGGGACCATGTTCCACTTAAGATCTGCTTAGCTGCCTAATATCACAACCACTGAAGGGGTATCACAGTCTTCAGTGCAGACCCTATCCCTGTTTCTATGGCAACAGCGAACAGAGAGGCTTCTTGTCATCATTGCGTGGGCGTGTTGAACCGATTTCTTCTTACATTTTGGTGGTGAGCTCAAAAATTAAGCTCATGATTCATTTCAGCTCATGTGCCCCACGACTGAAGGCATCTCCTCCCTCTGGGGAGCGACCCCCCCGGGGACAAAGACGCCTTATTAACTCCCCCCCCTGTGTTCAAACTGCCCGATCTACCATTTGCTTTCTGCGCTTCATCCCCTCGTTCAGTCCGAGAGCATGTCAGAGCTTTGGCGGCTGAATAGGATTTTGTTGGCTTTCAAAAAACGGCTGCCCGCTTCCTACCCTCTGAAGAAAAAGGGAAGTGTGTTGGCTGCACTCGGAGCTGCTCTGGCATGTATATGATCAATGTCACCCCAAGTGAGAAATCAAGAGAGGGCGGAGACGTTGTGAGGAAAGCTAATCTGACGGGCCGAGGCACCCAGACACACACACTGCAAACAGACACATTTCAATATGTGTATCCTATTAAAGGGATGTACACAGGCAGGCAGGAGGCCCCAGAATGATTAAACACTTCACAATCTATCTTAGGGACTACAGGAGGAAGGAGAGGTAATGTATTTTTATTTTGCTAAGGGGAAATGTTCCTCTTATCAAATGTCATACATCCATTACATTACATGTTAGACGTTTTATCCAAAGCGACTTACATACTCAATACTGTGGAAAATCACCACAGGAGCAATTTGGGGTGAAGTGTCTCAGGGACACAACGACATGCTGACTGCAGTGGGGTTTGAACCTGCCCTGTTCCGAACACCTACACACAACCCACTGCGCCACATCCCCTCTCAGGAATAATTTAACAGCCCATGATGACGGCTTTTGTGCTCGTAAAATGCTCACGAATGTGAATTTATGACGTACAATTATAATAAAGGAAATGCGGAGCAGAATAATCCTGTGTATGTTTCAATACTTGATTCGCCACAATCGAGCACTTTAGTCTGCAGCATGACAGAAGGCAAAACACCTATTACGTACATCGTTTTTGAAAAATAAGAAAAATAATAATAATTGTATTGTGTTTGCTATTTGTTTTGAAATGGCTAATTCCAGTGCTAATGTGTGCTTTGTCAGCTTTTTAGAAAACTTAATTATGACTTTTGGAGATTATTCCATTTTAAATTCTTTAGGATTTGCCTATGTAGTTATCTGTGGTCAAACTAAATTTCAGTGATGCAGAAATTAATATAATTTAGGTTGGGGAAGCTCTTACATTTCAAGACTCAAATCCAAACATCTCTACAGTCCCTTACAGTGAGTCCTATGTATATTCAGTAGACATCAGACCTTTGATAATGTAAAGGAAAAAGCTTTCCTAGATTGGGGCGTGCCATCCATTATCTCACATCCTCTGTCTAAAACATCGGTGCCACTAAAAGTAAAGAAACATTAAAATTGCAGACATATAATGTAAACTCAGACAACCTGCGAGTAGATTACTGTGGCTGGGGAATATTTTAGGTAAGTGAAACCAAATCGATCCCTGTTTTCCAGCAGTGAGGTTTTCCTGTGAGACCTGGAGTGGATACGGTGGCAGCTCTTAGGCTGAATCTGAGACAAACAGTCGGGCAGAAACAGGCAAGATAAGGGCCAACCCAGGAAATGACCTAAAGCTCTAATTGTGTCTCAGTGGAAAAAGTACAGTCCTGTGAGTGGGCTAGTTTCTAAACACCCACATGACGGAGATGTATCACAATGCTGTTACAGAGTCTACAGTAAAGGTCTCTGGGCTCCGACTGATTTATCTGTTGCATAATAACTCTGCTTGAAACAACATAGGATGCCATATGCCAACACCGTATGGTTCCATGCAATTACTGCAGGCCTCAAAGCCTTCTGTGTCATTTGCCAAAGTAGCAATTTAGATTAGCATGTAAAACTGAAAAAATCAGGTAAACATTTCTGTAAACATTTTTGACAGATCTAGCAACGTTGAATCAAAGAAGGGGGAAAGAAATACAAACAATCAGACAAATCAGACTGGAGATACAATTTAAAGTGAGAACACCACACATCACTATTTGGCAAGTGCTGAGTAACTATAACCCACACAGAAAGAAGAACAAAACTCAGCAAATTGACATATATAGTTCCCAGTTCTCTTTTAATCAACATGAACACTAACACGCTTTGATCAAAAAAGGTCTGTAGAATAAAGAACATCAAAATCAAGATAGTGGTGGGTGTTGTTTTAAAAGTCAAAGTTTGAAACTGAAACTGAGGTTCTCTGTTTGGGGTATATTTATTCATTTGTTCCTTCTGTCTTCCATATAATATGATGGGCTTGTTTACAACGTGTACAATAACTGTCTTTCTTTGTGATGCTACATTGTTACCAGATAAAAAAATTAACAGGGTGAGAAAATCATTATAATTATGACAAAGAAAGTTGAAAAATACCGAGTTCGAAGACGGGTATATTCCAAAGTAGGGGAGTAGGAACTTGCTTTACTTTTCGGTGTTTGCCTGATGATTAACGCATACTAACTAATAATATAATCCACCCATATTTTTTCTGGTTTAGCTAAATATATGACCGTTAAAAAGTGACCACAAAGACAAGTCTCATGGCTCACAGTGACAGATATTTCTGATCGGTATGGTGAGGACCTACCCTGATGAAGATCAGCGCACTGGAGTCTCCCACTTTGTACTTCCCCTCCGACACCTTGATCATAGGAAACTGAGCTGGACAGGAACAACGACCCAGAATCTCACGCACCTGAGGAGGACAAAAGAAAATCAGTTTAACACACACAGCAGACAAATATGACACACACTCACTCATTCGACGGGGGATCTGACAGTGCTCCCTTCCTGTACTCCGGATCAGTTTAGTCACACATATCTGGGCCTGTGTGTCAACAACACAATAACAGTGTTTTACAGAGTGAGAAATGAGCAGTCTCTGTGGCTTGAGTGTATGAGAGTGGATGTTTTGTGCGTCATCATCCTTCAAACCTTTCTCTCCAAGCACCCACTGGGTGTTAGCTAGCCCCGCCCCGCTCTCTCTCACCACATTAAAAGCCTTCATCTCATCCCTCCAGAACACTTTGGTTCTTTACTTCACCGCAAAAGGTCACAAAAGCACCAAAATACATATGTGGACATGCTAATGTAGGCTCTCCCTCTCTGGGGCTGTTACATGATGTTCTGGTTGTGACATCATAAGCCGAGGAGGGAAGGCGCTCAGAGCCCAGTCTGGTGCTGATGATGTCAGCAGGCCGCGCTGCCAGCTGGGTTTTGAATCGAGAGAGTCAGTGCTCTGGCTGTGGTCAGGGGTGCTTATTAGGCACACACACAACTGCAGGGTGGAGCCAGATCCGCCTGTGTTGCACAGGCTCAGGCTCTCACAGGATTGGACAACTTTGATGTTTTTCTTGGCGTGTCTCTCAGACAAAGGCGTATGAGCACTTGTCGAGCCGGAGGGAGAGAAAGTAAAGCTGCAAAGCGGATAGAGGAAAGCACAAGAAGAGAGGATAAATAACCATTATTTTGTGTGTACGGGCGGCCATTACCACGGGGAGGGGAATATATTCTATTGATATTTAAGTGATCAAATGATATGTTAGAGGAAAATGTGAGCTCCCAGCCTTATCTGCTGTGTGCAGGGCTGGAGGCACATGGTCTGCATGTATTGTGTGGATGAGCATGGTGGCCTATAACACCTACATTATCGTGTATTCAGAAGATTACAGAGTCACCTTGTTATTTCCTTTAAACAGCACCCCTCGTTCTTCCCCATGCTGATTAAAGAGGGAGGAACCAGCGTTAAGCCCCTCACCTGCCTCTCTGTTCTCCCTCTTTGTTGTCTCTCAGCCGTTATTCTCCGCCGAGCACTCGCTGACCGGCCCTAAATGTTTCTCTTTCTTTGTTTTGCTTACATTTTCTACATCTGCTTGCTCAGTCTCTTTCTCTCCGCTCTTTCACTCAGTCAGTAGGTGGACGAGCTATGTTTGGAAAAACCCCGGCCAGTGACTTAATGGAAAGATTGCTATGGCAACAGACACACACATAGCCTTACCCTTCCCATTTCGACTGTACTCCTTTTTTTCATTCTCGCTATAGTAAAGCCTTTTCTCTCACTTCCAAAAAAACCTCCCCCAGAGCCGTTCAGCTGAGGTCATTGTTTCCTCCAGAGAGAAGGTGAAGGACTCGTGTGTCTCATAGCAAACACTGAGCAGGATGTGCAGTCCAACCATGAAGGGATTTAATAATAACATAATCAATAGCAGCACTGGCATTTGAAATATTTACTTTGCGGAGCCTTTGACATGAAATGTGTACACTTCCCATGTGTTCTCTGTATCAACAATGGATACAGTAAGACACACTGAAACCAAAACACACACACACACACACACACACACACACACACCAAAGTGAGATAGGAGGGGAGGAGGGAGACAAGGTCACACGGGAAGCATGCGGAAGTGGCGCTGTAACACTGCGAAAAAAATTGAAGGATGAATTATGGATGCATTTTTGGTCACAAGAGAGATGCATTCAGCTAGAGCTGCAGATGTTTGAGCAGGAAAAGAAAGGAAATACGACACAATCCACGGTGCGCCCCTAATCTGAGACTCTGCCGTATCTATCTTGAGATAGGAATGTGGAGATGTTTTAGCCTGGAAGCACTTTGGTTATAAATCGAGATTCCCTTTGAATGGAGCAGCCGGGTTTGGTCTTTAAGTTGTTACATGTGGAAGAACATACAGTGCATATTGCGTTAATGATCCCCCTGCTCACATCCCATCATATCTGCTCAGTGTGAGTCAACACATTCCTTTCCTTCCTGACCTGCAAACATCTGAAGAGCCATTCAAGGAAGAGACTGAGGGCTGGGCAAGCCCTTGGGATGAGGAGAGGAAATGGGAGGGGGAGATAAAAATGTTGGGTTTTATTTCCCATTGTCTTGACTGATTTTGAGATGTGGACTTACATGCCACACTATAACAGCATCAGAACAGAGGCTTGTAAAAGGTTGCCAATATGCACTCTTAAAAGAAGATTTGCTTGAATGATAGGAGTTTAAAGGTTGTTATTATTTGAACACACAAATTGTAGTTCTTGTTTTAGTTTTCTTGTTTTGGGTTTACAGGCTGGGATACATTTCATAAATATACTCCAAGAAGCCTCACATTCATTTACATGTCTGTTCTCCTCGTGAGTCAGCAAACAAAGTGCGACCGCACAGTTTGCACTCATCAAACAAAGGTGTGCCGGCCTGCGGTAACAGGCTTCTTTTTATGATTGTCATGCAATGGATAAGTATTGGCAAACTCCAACAATAAAAACTAAACATCAAAACACCTCACTCCGAAGGAATTAACGCGAGGGTGTTTCCAGGATGAGACTCCTGTGTTGCCTGAGAGACAACTGCAGGTTTTGCGATGAAATACAAATCGTCTTTTAAAAGGAAATTGGGAGGATTTGGCGCTTGGTGCATCCAAGGCGAATTCCATAAATAAGAACAAGCCTCTTCTCTTGGATTATCTTGTTAGCCTGAGGATCTCCTGTCATGACTGGAAACTTCCCAAGATAACACACCCTCACCATCAGATAAGCAAATAGAGACAAGAAAACACTGTGGGCGCCTGCCTGGTAGGAGAGAGAGTTTCTGAAACTTGAGGGGTTATTGCTTCACCACTAAGCATTCCTAAAGCCTGTGATCGCACACTGAAACAGACACATACTGTATCAGACTATACCCTTAAATTAAAACCCTGTCCTGATATCCTGCATGAAAGACTCATCTGTGAACAACCACGCAACATCTAATGAACATTGAAAAAAACCAGATGATCTCTTTAAGCAACCTGGGGGGTGCAGCGAGGCGGCAAAATGAGTCCTGATTATGGTGGACCTGTAGCCTGTGGGGACAAACTGTAGAGAACATGGACATATGTATTTACAGACTGTTAGCATGCTGGTTCAACAGGCCAAACAAGGAGAGATGAGACAGATTAATGCCTCAGGATCAGGCGTGTCGGTTATCGCCAGAAACCTTCCCCTGCGAGACCAGGCAGAATATTACAAAACAGAATGCATTAGAGCAACATTTTTAGAAATATGTTGCCTTCTTTCCAGCTGAGAGTTAGATCAGAAGATCGATAACACCCCGATACCAAGAGAAGACACAGAGGAGACAGCTAGCCTGGCTCTGTCCAAAAAAAACCCAGCCTGTCAGCGTTAAATATTTCTTTATCTGTTCAAAATCAATACATTATATGTTTAATAATCTATGGTGTGTGTTTAATCAGGGTGAAAAATGACATCATTCTGGCCTCATCCTCCTCTTCAAGTCAAACCATTCCCTGTAAATTGATCCCTGTCTCCTGGCCACATGACAAACTGCCCTATGGGGTGCAGGGAGGTTACATGAATCTAATGGACATCAAGGACTGAGAGGCGCATAACTCTATTATTCATCTGCTCCAGTCAGACCGCAGTGTAATCACCCGGCACAGGAAGTTAAATATCAGCCAGCGTCTAAGTCATGTGTGGGTTTGTTTTGATGAGGCTCAGAAACACTCAACACTTCTCCTGGTGACGGTCGAGGTTAGAGAGATGGATGCCTCCTCGCTCTCTTCCCATCCTGACAGTCTCCACCTGAGACCCGCATGAGGGGGCTGCAGGCAGGGGCAGAAAATAACCAGACCAACCCACACAGACAAAAGCCTGTTCGGATAAACACAATATTAAATGATAATCGCGCAAAACGATCAGGAGAGAGAATCAAATGCAAAGCAAAAACGACTTAGAGTGGGCAGTATCTAAGCAGAGTCAGCTGTTTCCCACATAACGGGAAATAACGATGAGGAGTGAGATCTGGTGTTCAGTGTTTCCGAGCAAAGCCTATACACTGAACAAAATCAAACCTTGACTTTAGTTAAATGTATTATTTCAACAGATTTCACATAACTGTATTAGGTTAGTTGAAAGCAATGATATGAAGGTTAAGGTCCTTGTATATAGACTCGTATTGCACTGTTCCACTTAAAAAACTTTTTTTTCTTTTTGTATTACCTTTCATATAGTATATTTTAATATTGGTTAATATTGTCTGCTTATCTGTATTGTTGTGTTGCATTGTTGGAGAAGCCTGTGACCTAAGATTTTCAACGACATAATTACTCTGTAGCTATGTTAGTTTGACAATAAAGAACCTTGAACCTTGAACCTTGAACATTGAACCTAATATTATTGCTTTCAACTAGCCTAATAGAGTTATGTGAAATGTGTTGGCACAATAAGATAAGATAAGATATATACTTTATTGATCCCAATTTGGGATTTGTTTTCATCAAAGCAGCATGTAAACATGTAAGTCATTGCACACAATGTGAAGATGAAAAGGAGTATGAAATAAAAACCAATAAACATAAAATATAAACGTATGATATTATTAACATTGAGTGTGCAATAAATAGCTAATTCAATTAATATCACTGTACAAGGAGCTGTGTGAGGACACTTTATAGAGATATTTGAATGTAAAAGTGTCCAGTTATCAAAGCAACATAAGAAACTGTGAGCTATAAGAAGCTGTGAGATAATACATTTAATTACAGTTTCAGTTTTTCCAGAGGGTAAAATGAAAAAACCCTCTCCAATATTAAACCCCTAAAAACATGAGTGCATGTAACCCAGGAGGGAGGAACAGTGAAGGATGCCATGCTGCCTCAGCAAAGCGTACTCATGTGGCCCAACGCAGAGCACGGTGACCTACTTTTCTCTCTCACTCTAACTCCCCTCTCTACTGTAGCTCTCCCTCCCAGAGTCACATCATCCCAGTCAGGTTTAACAGAGTGTACAGTGAAGTCACTCTAGGCACACTATCTGTTGTCTACTCTTCTTTTTTTTATTCCCTGAATGCATGAATTGGACCATGAGGTTAATGGAGCAGCCTGGCATAATACACACATTTCCCCTCTTTATTACCCCCCCCCCCTTTGCCCTGCTGGTGTCTCCATCCCAAGTCTTTGATTGAGTCGTCAGCCTTTGATTGCCTCGCTGTCAACAGTGGCCCTCTATTCATATGTCCCCTTTCAATGCCACCAACAAGACATACTGTTGTGCTGTTTGCTTTATCATCTCTGGCGGAGACACGTGTGGGGGATGGGAATGATGGCTCGCACATATATGACCTAAACACGGGCTGAATGTTGAAGCCTGGGGTGGGAAGAGATATGAAGCAGTTCATATGACGAGCAAGAAAAAGGATGAAGGATGTGAGTGAAGGAAGGCTGTGAAGCTCCAATGGCCTGTTGTTTATTAGCTCCAATATTGTATTGTATAGATGCTTATGCATGCAGTAAATATGTCAACAATCATAGTGTGCATTAAGGGGTCAGTTAGTCGAATTTCAATGATCACATGTATGTCACCTTGTATAGCTGTGTCTGTGCCCAGGGCCTAATTACAAGACCTACAAAATATTCTTTCAGTCATTTGTGTTGGTAGATGACTTAGTTTCTTTACATTATAATGCCTGCAGCATATAGGAAAATACATATCCAATCAAGTCATAATCCCTGTCTAGTGGTGATATGGAAAATCTCCCTAATGCAAAGGATAAACTTGATGTGGACATATAGCAAAGTGACCCAGCTGCTGTCTCAACTGCCACCATTGAGATAGTAATATGAACACCTCCAGGAGTGGGAAAAAAACATCTATCATGACTCAATCCATGATGAAGGAAATGAGCGGCCGGTCACTTCCTCAATTTATCCGTGGAAAACCATCCCGCGGTGATATGAGTAATAATAACACGTATTGGCAGATCAGTGGAAGACTGTGTGGGTGAGTGTTTACATAATGTCGTGTTTTAACCAGGATAGACTACAGCTTCCTTATTAAATACCTAGTGTGGCAAGCAGATAGTTGACGTGACAAATCAACTGTTTGCATTAGGTGTTTAATGAGTCACTTTACTGTTACATAAGCAGAGGGTAATGATGACAAATCATGCAATATTTGTGACACATTTTGACTGTGTTTATTGAATGGCCATGTCCTAATAGGGACTTGCACTTAAAATAACCCTGCTGCCTGTAGTCAGACTGTTACGATACACACTGTAATCCTATTATAATTACACTTGTATTGTCTTGATGAAGTAAGCAAGAAGATTACCTTGATCATCCAGGTACCAAAACAACTTAGAAAAGAAGATACATTTGCTTTAATCTCATTAAGACTCTCTGAGCTGCACAAGAAACTAATGGCAAACTTTTTGAAGATGGTACACAAGAATTAGTCGAGCTATGCAACTCCGAAATCTGATTAATGCATTACTATGAATACTTTGCGTTCTTGCTGATCGTAGGAAGATGCTTTCCCTAACCATCTGTTTCCTCACATTCAGGATTTTGTAAAGAAAACTAAGGCTGCTGTGCACATTTTAGTTAATGGTAATCAAATGATGACATTTTCTTTAATGATAATATGGGTTAAAAATAGAGAGCCAGTTGATAAACAGGTTGAACAAATATGTATATTATATTAAAAATTAAATCATGAATTGTCAACACATTTTCTACAGAGAAAATCAGTTATCAACTATCCTTGATATGTAATCTGCTTGGTTGCTGCAGGAACCAAGCGTCTGATTGAAATGTATTGAAATCTCTGTCTGCTTGACGGAGGGCAGTGGACTCACAGTCTGGTGTCACAGCTGTGGACCAATACTACTAAGCCCTTTACCTTTCTTACCCTCCCTCCCTGTCAGAAACGTATGAGTACTAGCAATGAGGTTCCTATAACCCAATGCTAATCTCCTTTAAGACAGAAATACAAAGAAAGAGGTTCTGCAGGATGAACTTGTGACTAATGAGACAGAGCAATAGAGAGGTATTGTGTCTTGAGGCAAGAAATTAGCTGATTGGGCAGATGTTTATAAAATAATTTAAAGAAAACTGGACTGGAGGTACTTCCGTAGTCAGTATTACCTGCAGTAGATGTTGGCTGGCTTGCCCCAGTTTAGAGAAACAGACAGGAGCAATGTACTGCTGTGGACTGGGGCAGCTGCAAAACGTAGTAAAACCACATGAAATATCCAAATCAGTTACCATGTTGTCCGAGAGCCTCTTCTGACCAGGAACTAAAGCTGTTATCTATACCCTCTCTTGAAAGTCACCAGAATCAACTGACAAAAACATGATACCTCCCTTCCTCAATTAGTTAGTTTCTGACTTTGGTGTTAGCTTGGATTCCCCAGCGCCATACAATAAAAACAACAAGCTGTTTTAGTTAGCTAGAATATGTTTAGCTGCTGCAGCAGTACAATACTTTGCTCCCACCCCAGTACTCTTTTTCTCCAAACTGTGGTCGTGCTGTCCACCATCGACTAATAATAATACTGTAGTAACTCAATAGTAACACACTGACTATGGTTAAGTACCTCATACAAACCTACTTCACGAAAACCAAACTATCCCTTTAAGAAGTGTGCAGCGAAATATGCCTTGGCCTATAAAAGACAAATGGGCCACAAACAGCTGAAGCCATTCGATGGGATGTGTTGGAACAACCACGCCTGTACTATTTTGATATTGCTTCCTCTCATCTCAGTACCTCTGTGGTTTCTCGTTTGAAGAGCCTCATGTTGCTGATGTGGGCTGTTCTGCGCAGCTTGCATGTTAGCAATATTCTCATGTTGACAGGGTCGATGGTAGAGATTGAATTCACCAGACACATGATGACTGGGAACGCCATTACCCAAATCTGTCAAGTCAAACGTTTCTGTCGGTCACTGTCTGACTGCTGAGGGATGTGACAGTGGGAGTGACAGAAAAGCAGACACAGGCATACGCTCTGTGATTTTCTGTCTTAAAAATGCAGCTGCCTGGTTTAATCCTCAGTCATATGAGTGTTGGGACTCAGACAGTCTGGAATACGAACAGCGCACATCCTCCTCCACATGCTCTCCTATTTCTGTCTGCGGAGGTCACACTGAAGCCGCTGTGCTCGGCTGCCTGAGACAGTGTGAGTGTGACTGTCCCCACCCTCCCTCTCCGCTGTCCCTCACAGCTTTGGTGCCAAAGACAGACATTGTTCTCTCCATCAACATGAAAATATCAACTTCTCCCCCACATGTTACCACTGGTCTGTCGGCCTGCTCATTAGCTTTACCCTGACAAGACATTTTCTTCTCTAATGTGAAGTGTCAGGCGCCCTGGCAAAGGTCAGCCAGTTCAGCAGGACACATGACAAGAGCTCGATAGAATAGGAAATGTATTAACTACAAACTGCCAAAAGGGACATTTCTAGTGGTGATGAAAAAGAAGCTGCAGAAGCAGGACACGATTAGGAATCTTCCTTCGCCGGCAGGATATGGTATTGATTCTTCTTGATGGACAGGCTAAATGAAAGAGGCCGAAGATGATTGTGGACATTTGAGTGGAAATGTTCTTCAAGAATGCAGGAGAAATGTGACAGAGGTGACCTGTGACCTTTCAGATAAGAAGCTAATAATTTGGGTGTCAAACACACGCCGACCCTACAGGTGCAGCAGGAATTTACCAGCACAGTTCAGAACAAAGTTACGATGCACACCCATACCGCAGGGAATCTATAAGGCGCCTTCCTTCTTCGTAGCACTGATGTGATATTTTCTGAGAGGCTGCTTCACTTTTGACACTTTTGTGTTTTACTGTTGGAGAACTTGGTCTTCTATCTGATGCCTCATTATGTCAACACCACACAAAACACATCGGCTGAAACCTACTTCTGACTGAATCTTTAGTGGGCTACTATTTCACACGAGGTGATAATTGAATGGTCAGGAAATTAAGCTGTCAGATCATCAAATTATCTAAGAGGACTTTCATGATTCATAATGTAGTTATTATTCATACATTTTATGAAGGCAACTATTCAGGATAATTAAACCAGGTAATACCATACTGAGGCTTGTGTTTTTATCTTTTCAACTTACCAACTCATCCAAGTTTCTCATGTCACACAGCACCCTCTTCTGCGGCCAGATGATGGGCTCTGGCTCCGGCTCCTCTTCTTGCTCCACACTCAGACTGCTACTCTGACTGCTCTCCTTCCGACTGAAGCACCTGCTGGGCGGGCTCTGCTCAGCCGGCTCCTCGACATCGATCCGCAGGCTCTCCTGGTCCCGGATCTCCTCCTCGATCTCCTCCTCCAGCTGGATCAACATGGGGGCCAACATGCCGAACTTGGCCCCGCGTCGCGCCACCTCGAGCAGACACAGAACAAAATTCTTCTCGTTGCATCTCTCCACCAGGTCGTTGGTCTCAAACATGAGGACGTCCTTGATCCAGAGCTCCTGCCTGCACCAGCTGATGAAGTTGGACACGTTATCCCGCGCCACAAACGAGCCGGCGACCACATTGCGTGACTGGAAGCCCACATCTTTGGAGGGCAGCTTCATGGAGTGAGCAGCCTCCGGGTACTCCAGCTGGAAATCCTGCGCGGCGCGGTTCACGTTGTTGGCGTGCCGACACAGAGCACAGCCGGTCCCCAGCCCCTCCATGAAGGAATCTGCAGAGATATCCAGATCATAGAGGGTGTTCAGCCATTCCGCCAGATCCTCCTTCATGGCGTACAGGTACTCCTCGCTGGATTTAAAAGGCCGGATACTCTTGGAGGCGGCGGACTGGATGTTGCTCTGATCAGCCATATTGTCGAATTACGCAGCCTATCAATAAAGTCTACTTGACAATTCCCGATTGTCTCATTGCACAGCTCCAACGCCTTCATCCGCAAATATAGCGAATTAACCGTGTTGACGCACCCATGCCGATTTGCATGTGTGGTTTCTTATGGGAGCTCCTTGGACCCAGGCTTTGTGTTGTCAGAGGCATATCGGGATGCGGACTAGCCGTGGCGCATGGATGCGTTTTCCGGATGTCTGGGAAACCCGTTTCCTTTAAAGAGCGCATTGCCGTGTCCCGGGACGCCGATACACACCCATGCGACGACCTGTTAATCCTCCCGCTGAACGGAGGCTCCTCTCACTCGCAGAAATCCACGTGTCACCATGTCTGTGTGTGAGGCGGTCAGAGAGCTCCTCTTCGATGAAATCACGGAGCAGCACTGAGTCCACAGCTCATCTTCCCAGCAAATGGGCCCGCCTCTTGCGCTGAATATGTTGACCTGCTGTAGCTTAGACCAGCAGAGCGACTCGGTGGCACATCCCATTATGAGGGATCAACGCTCGACAGAGGAAACTTAACCCCATGTTTCCCAAGTCAGGAAACACTGTGTAAACGGGGATAGAAGCTGGATACCTTATATAGCTACTAGAGTGAATCTATAACAGAGCTGGGAGAAGTACTCTTGTACATGAGTGTAGGAATGTGTTATAATACATGTCCTGCAATCAAATGTTACTCAAGTACAAGTAGCTACCAAGGTATCAGCATGTTAGTAAAAGTACTCATCAAGCATATTGTCCCCAATTCAGAACAATATATTAAATGCTTTGATTATAATAATACTCCAGTTGTAACTAAAGTCTTATTTAAGTGTTGATTATATTTCTCATCATTAGACACAATCTGCCAAGTAACTAAAAGTATTTGATAAATGTAATGGAGTAAAAATACACTTTTTTAGGTGTAGAAGCCCTGCTGACAAAAACAGTTTAGATCAATTTAGCTGGTCAGGTTTGTTAGTATAGCAAGAACAGCCTGGCCAGCATTTCCAGCCTGGTAAACCAACTAAACCAGCCTAACACCAGCTAAAACCAGCAACCATATTAAGCTGGTCTATGCTGATATTTTCAGCAGGGAGTACAAAGGAGCAAAAAATTGAAAAAAGTGTCTCAAAATTGTGCCAAAATACAGTACTTGAGTAAATCTACTTAGTTACTTTACACCACTGCAGACTCATTTATATAGCTACTGCTGAGTTAATCTATAACAATAGGCTACAGCTGTTTTATTTGTTCAACATGTGTCTGAATCTGCAAAGTTACAAGTGTCAAATGAATGTAGAAGAGCACTTTTAGTAGAGCACAATACTGTCAGGGGTATTTATTTATTCAACCTCATGGTCGTTTTTCATTCATGGGTTCATCTTGCACCGGATATTAAGGCTCTTTTCCTAAGTAAGAATATATATTTGTTATCAGTTTTTATTCCGAATAACACAAAAACAGGCTTCATAGTCTCAATAATGATGTCTCTGTGTGAAGTGCTAAAGGCCAATAAAGCTTGGCATCATGAGACCAACTCTGATTAGTGCAAGAATTACCCTTCAAACGGTTCAGAACATCATCTGAACAATGATTAAAGCAGATATGATAGTTACAACCTTGTCTAAAACTATAGGTTTTATAAAGAATGTGTGATTAGTCGTTTTAAGAAGGCACGGCACAAACAGAGCTGGTAAACTCTGAAACAGCAGGAGGTTGGGGATTACAAAGAGAGATAGTGAGAGATATACAGTAGACAGACAGCATCAGTCAACAGTTAAGTAGGCTGTACAAAGAGCACAAGACAAAGTAGTTAATTCAATAGCACATGATCTTCTGTGTGCATGATGAAAAAGTGTCACATACTGGTCCAGATAACAGAGCTGCTGTTAGTGCTAATACTGTTCAATCAGGGAAAGATTGATCTGATTATCTAATTAAAAAGACAGAACAAGAATGACCATGCCTTTTCGAAATATTGCCTATACTAATGGTTTAAAGCTCAGTTTAGGGTTGGAAACGGGGGTCCAACTTGGGTGAAAGAGACCTGCTTTTCAGGTTTTAATGGTATGTTAACATTTTTGAAAAACAGAAAGAAACTTGCCCTGGTCTCAAGACAGTCTGCTATCTGCGTGTAAACCTTAGAGACAAAACTTGAAGCACATAATTAGACTATGTATTCTGGGGGTTATTTTATTACAAACTAAGTTAAAGGTTTTCTGATGCTGTTTCAAACTTGTCCATATGTAATTACAATCGTCTACATGTGCCCTTATTTTGAAAGCAGTTGGGACACACAGAAACCCTTATTTTCATCTTGAGTTCAACTCTTGAACTCTATGTGAATAACCCTGGAGTTCATATATTTTTAAACGTCCTTTAAAAGTTTCATTTCCGCTTTAACAATCTTTTTGAGAGGCTCACGTTCCCTCCAAATGTGTGATTGTTTGAATTTTAGCGAAGCCCACTGCCAAGAAGGAGGGCTTGTTTTCATTTAAAAAAGAGGGATGTGTCTGTTTAAAAGAGGGAGAGAGAAAGAAAGGAAGGGGCGGAAAATAAAGAGAGAGAAAAAAGAGGGAGAAGAGAGGCAGGGAGGGAGAAGGTGGGGGTTGATGACATCATCTTCTGGGGCAGAATGAATCAGCTTTTCTGTCAGTAAAGAGAGAGAGAGAGAGAATTCGGCACTCTATTAATCCACACGCACAACGGGCCTCAGCAAATGAGAAGTACTTTAGTCAGCTGTGACAAAGTTCCCCACAATTAAGAGGGCTTTAAAAAAATAAAACCCAATAAACATGAGCCTTATTGTATCATGTCAAAAACAACATTATGTAAAACCACTTGTGATGTACGGAGCTGTGAGCGGCAAGAGGGTTTCGTTAGAAAATGACCCAACGGCTATTTATAATGAAGGGAAAAGTTCAAAGGTAAAGCTACTGCAAGAATACTTTCTCACAGGATTATTTTAAGAGAATCCTACAAGCAGGATTATCCAGTGGTTACATAGGTGTATGAAAAGAAAACAAAGAGCAGTAGGATGGCTTTAACAGTCATATGTTTCCCAGATGTTAAAAGTATGCTCCCAAGATTTACATCTGTGATTAATAACAGCATTCAATTCAATTTCCTTATAAGGGATACTGCTCTAACACTAATGAGACCCAAACCTGGCTACAGTTAAAATGGGAAACTGAGTAAAAAGAGTAAAAACATTCAAAGCATTTGTCTCTGGTTCAAAGCTGTTGCTAGCATGAGTTATGGCTTAAGTGCAGTGTAAGGTCATTGGAGGAAGCAAACATGTACTGACAGAGTTACTTAAAGCAGAAAGCAAAGACTCATTCAGAAAAGGGTTTCTGGTGGGACCAAGGAGACCGCATCGTTGATTTGAGGTAAGAGGACCCAGGCTCCAACAATGTCATGAGTCACAACTGCAGCAGTTCAGACTGAAACCTTAGTGCTGCCCCCTGCTGGCAGGAAGAGAAACTGCTGCAGCCCCTTCCAGACATGCAGAACATCTACAGAAATGAGAAGTACAGCTTCTAAAAGAACTATACTTGTAAAATGCAAGAAAATAGAAAATACCATAATATATACCCTTATATATATTTGTTCTTCAGGGTTTGTATTTAAATTGCTGAAATGTCTCAGGTTACTTGACCAAGGCATGTACATAGCCTTGCAAGTGGATTTTATTGAGGCAACCTAAAACCTTTGGAACGAATCTCATGCAGTCATGGGACTGCTTTTTGTAATATCTCAAAATCATAAAAACTTGGATCGGTAACTCCTACACACCATCTTCAGTATCTTTTAATTAAAAAAAAAAAAAACTACATTAATAAAACCGCTTTCAAGATCTTCCTGCAAAACGTGTTTTACATCTTGTAAAGTTGAGTAAATCCCACAACTCAAAACATGAAATTGGTAAAATTTTATTTCCCAAATTTGTCATAATACAATTGCCAGTTATGGGAAAGGGGAAGCAATTATTTTTGGACGAATGAAAAACAGCATTTTACTACACAATGTCAAATCTAAAGGGCATATTAAAAAAAAAAGCAAAAAACAAAAACATGCACAGAACAATGTGGCATAAAATGGGTAAACTAAAAAAAAAAAAAGTGGAAACAGGAGTTGAATAAAACTGCACAGGTTGTATGAAAAGCAGTTATTTAACCATTAAAATATGGAATCATAAATAAAAAAAACTTCCACAGGAGGAACAGTCAAGAAGTTTTTCTTCAGTAGGGCCGCTCTCTGCGCTCCTGGCGATGGTCCCTAAAAAAGAACAGAGAGATAGTGAGGGTCAGTCGTGTGTACGCACCACTATTACACTCAGTTTGCATTCATTGGGCTGGAACTACACTATGGGAAGAGCAATACATCGGTTTGGTTGAGGAACTTCAAACCTACCTCATATCCATCTTGCCGCCTGGTGGGCCGCCCATTCCTCGTCCTCTCCCCCGATCCATCCGGTCCATAGGGGGTCCTCCACGCCCCGCCCCACGGAAACCTCCTCGATCCATCCCCCCTCGTCCTCTGAATCCCCCACGGTCACCTCCCCAACCTCCACGGAAACCGCCGGGCCCTCCAGCTCCTGCGGGCCCTCCGCGGTCCATCCCTCGGCCGCCACGCATCCCCATCCCACCTCTGCCTCTGTCACCGCCGGGGGGGAATGGAGGGCCGCCGCCGCCTGAGGGATACACCCCTTTGTGCAACACCGGCTTGAGGGATACACCCCTTTGTGTAACACCGTCTTGAGGGATACCCCCCTTTGTGGGCTTTGCATTGGTTACATTCCATCCGCCAGGCAAAGTTCTGGTTTCCACAACCGCTAGAAACACAGACCATCAAATATATTACAAACTAATCTTTGGTACAAAGAAGGCACCCGAGATGAGACTGCACCCTGAGGGAATACGTACGGGTTTGGGCACTCCCAGTCTCCAGCTCTCTGCTGCATGTTCCCTCCGGTGGGTCCCCCTCGGCCCATACCACGAGGACCGCCACGGGGCATGAACCCACCACGGTCTCCTCCGCGGCCCATCATGCCTGAGAGGAAGATTCACCATTTAGTTTTAAAATCATATGAACCCATTTGTTATTTCTTTATATTTTTATGATGACTAATGACAAATTCCCAAAGAAGGACAGCTTTTCTATGCGGCAGGATTCAACAGTGACAGCCCTATAGTTAACATGCTCTCAAAAATGCCAAACCCTAACACACACTTCTGACACTTACCTCCACGACCCATCATGCCGTCTCTCATGGGCATGCCACCCCTCATACCACCCATCATGGGCTTACGGCGCGCCATGGACACCTTGAGCCTGCGGCCTTGGAACTCCTTTCCTACAATTTAAGATAAAGTAGTTAAGACACAAGTATTCATTTATTTTGTCCAGGTTGATAAAACATACCAGGGTTGATCATACATACCATCAAAATGCTCCACAGCTGCTTTGGCACAGGATGGC